CTACGTTCATGCTATGGGAATGAAAGCAAGCTCACAATCTTTATCGTCCAAACAATCTGTATAAAGTCATTTCGCATATTCGAATTTCTAAAGGGTTAATAAAAAATTACTCGTTCTATTTTTACGATACAACCAAAGGATTCTTTACTTGTAGAGATTGGGAAGAAAAAATATTGTTCGTAAGTATCTAGATGTCTACGTATGTGGTATGTAAAAAGAGCAAGAAACACGTGAAAATACCCAATTCCACGAGCAACAGATATCAAGTATGGCAATCACTGAACTTTCAGCAGCTTTTGCCTTCCGGCAATGTCTATTCTTTCGTATCGCTAGCGATTTCCAGCGTGTGAACGAACGGAACGTTACTGTACTGCACAGCATTGATTTCACTTCCAGAGTTTCATTCTGATCCGTAGTAAAAGTATACGCAAGAGAGTCGGACAAATTTGCAAGAAAATTTTTTATGCATCGCGTAGCCCAAAAGATATTCAAAACAAATCGAAGACCCATATCATGATGTTCATGTATACGAGACTTCGCTAATTTAAAAACAAAACGAGAAATTGTTTGTACGATGCGATTCTTTTCCTTTCACAGCAGTAAAAACAAATAAAAAAAAGTTTATAGTTAAGGAGTTAATCATTTTTGTGTACTGACGAATCTTTTAACCTGTAAAATAACTTTTAACTTTAAAATTTTAACAAATCAAACTATCGTAGATCTTTGCATTAATCATGTTCTTCGTTTCGATCCATGTTCCCACCGATAAAGGCTTTGGATTACGAATGATGGGAGAATAGAGACGGGAACCGAACACGAAGTATCGGATAAACCACGTGTAAGCGGAAGTCGAGTTTCTAATTAAAAGCGGATGACCCGTAGAAACAGTCGGTCGAGGGTGTTCGGTGTTACATAGTTGCATACCTATCGTAACCCAAAGTCAGGCAACCAGAACTCTAAGAACTGAAGATCGTAGAGCAGTAAATTGAACCACGCTTACATCTGGTCGATAGAAATGACTTCGGATAGAAAACGCTTTGCGGTTAATCGGATCAGCCCACGGTTACTTTCATCACCATTTTCGAACAATATACTTGTTATTACGACATACTTGCTATCGTCATATATAATTTTCACAAGTGTAGAAATTATTCGTTCAACGTATGAAACACGCCATTTCATTAAAAATTTAGTATAAATTAAATGATCAAATCGTCACTTATTTACGTACTTATTTATATGTACTTTAATTACTAATAAAAGAATGCATTAAATTAACACGAACTTTATATTTATCTAAATTCTAAAAGGAACGAATCTTGAGACAGCGCTCATTCGCCTTTAAAAAGCCAATTTTTCTAAAAGGGGCCATCACCGTTCATTAAATCTATTTGGTTTACGTGACAAAAACCGATCCGAGTTGAAGCTCGAGCGAAATAGCTCTGGCACGGAAAAGAGATCGAACCAAGTACTTTTCCTTCGTTTTGAGAAAACTAACTTGCACGGATAAAAAGAAGCCGATTACCCTGTTCGTCGAACGAATCTTGTTTATGCAATTAAAGTCGATCTAGTGTAAATCTCGCAGCCAACGACGTAGACTGAACACAATGCAACACATAATTCTGGTACTTGGAAGCGGTACTACAGGAGTATTACCACCGTCAGATCTGCTTAATTGTTGTCTAACACCGGTTGTTCTAATGCTGCGTGTCTAACCTCGAACCTACCTAAAGGAAACCTAACTGTCCTTACGACCATGTTTCGCCAGAGAGTAAAGCCGTTTAGATCTATGCCCTTTCCACGCTTGCTACCAACTAAATCAACGCCGAGGTTAAACTAAGCTGATCGGAAAATATATTCCAAAAATTAAGATGTAGCGAATAAAAGAATGTCTCCTTTATGTTTCGTTCTGAATAACATATTAATCCAGATATATCTGAATTTTCTTCTTACTGATATTTTTGAAACAATGTACATATAATTTTCTCTTTATTCGAAATCTAAATCCAACGCATTAAGTAATTCGTACAATGCTACACAAATGTCAAAATATAATAAAACCTTGCAATGATCCTTTCCGAAGAATGATAGACATGGGTTAATCGAATGTCTACTTAATTTTTGCCCCTTTGGAATTGACTGCCTTATTCATTAAACACAATTTACTTGCATAAAAATGCAAATACTAATTTCAACTGCCAACCGAATAATCAATGCACTACACAATTGTATTATAAATAAAATTTAATCTTTTCAGAGCTAAATTTCTTTGGTCTGTGAAAAAACTGTTCTTCAACAAATTTATTAATTACTCATATAACATTTTCCTCGATATATTTCTTAATTTCAACAATTTTATAGAATTTTATTCTGGAATTTATCATTCTCAATTGCTCCCTGTTTGATCGGAACTTCCTTGTTCCAACCAACTTGATTTCTCAAACTTCCACGATCATTTAAAATGTTCCGCTTTAAACATGTCATCTCCTACCCGCGAGCAATTTCGGTGACCGTTTACTTGCGCGTCACCAATCTGTTCAAACATCCCAAGCAACCGGCGACAATTTTGTTTAATCGCCGTCTAATGTCCCTAATGTTCCGTCCTATACCTTTGTCAGTCTAAGGAAATTACATCGTGCCTCTCTCTCTCTCTCTCTCTCTCTCTCTCTCTCTCTCTCTCTCTCTCTCTCTCTCTCTCTCTCTCTCTCTCTCTCTCTCTCTCTCTCTCTCTCTCTCTCTCTCTCTCTCTCTCTCTCTCTCTCTCTCTCTCTCTCTCTCTCTCTCTCTCTCTCTCTCTCTCTCTCTCTCTCTCTCTCTCTCTCTCTCTCTCTCTCTCTCTCTCTCTCTCTCTCTCTCTCTCTCTCTCTCTCTCTCTCTCTCTCTCTCTCTCTCTCTCTCTCTCTCTCTCTCTCTCTCTCTCTCTCTCTCTCTCTCTCTCTCTCTCTCTCTCTCTCTCTCTCTCTCTCTCTCTCTCTCTCTCTCTCTCTCTCTCTCTCTCTCTCTCTCTCTCTCTCTCTCTCTCTCTCTCTCTCTCTCTCTCTCTCTCTCTCTCTCTCTCTCTCTCTCTCTCTCTCTCTCTCTCTCTCTCTCTCTCTCTCTCTCTCTCTCTCTCTCTCTCTCTCTCTCTCTCTCTCTCTCTCTCTCTCTCTCTCTCTCTCTCTCTCTCTCTCTCTCTCTCTCTCTCTCTCTCTCTCTCTCTCTCTCTCTCTCTCTCTCTCTCTCTCTCTCTCTCTCTCTCTCTCTCTCTCTCTCTCTCTCTCTCTCTCTCTCTCTCTCTCTCTCTCTCTCTCTCTCTCGACCGCTGGTAAGACACATCGAGCGTAAAACTCGATACCTCTTACGCGAGGGATTTCATCCTGATCCGGCTTTGACATCCGCACACAACCACCGACGGAACGGCGAATGGTCGAACGCGACAATTTGCCAAATCTAGGTTGATCGAAAGTATTTATGGCAATGGAGTGACAATCAAACCAATGCGAAAGACAAATCGAGTTTCATAACCACGAGGACCACGTAGCAGGAATGAGCAAACGACCTACGACCTGCATGAACATACGGATGATACACTTCGTAGGCTGCCATAGACCGCACTGTTTAATCAGGATTTCTCTGCACATACCGCGCTCGAGATCTACGCATTCCATGCTAATCAATAAACAGCAATAATTACCGAAGGTATACGCATTCGTCCTCAATTATACAGAAATCTGGTAACATATGCGAATACCGGCCTAATTGTTTCATTAAGAAATATAGATCGGTATTTCTCAGAATGTCAGAAAGATATTTAAATCCTCTGTGACTATGTGAAATTTTGATTTTTTTATATGTAGAAAGGTTTTAATTGATTCCTTCTACATACAAACTAAGGAGTAGCAATTACTATAATTATTGCCATTATTAACCGATATAACAGATTGAATTGATCAGTATTCATCGATCAATTGATGATTTTGAGATTAGGGCATCAAAAAAATAAAAAAATAATTTTTAATAAGTCGAAGGAAGAATTCAGTTGAAACGTAATTTAATAAAGTATCCATATGTCCTGGCAAGGCTTTGTTCAACTTTCCTCGGAACGTAGTTTCAAGCATACAAAAGCATCAACGGCTCGTTCTTTTTTAATTCGCAAACGCGTTGTATATTAAACTCCTGTTGGTCCTCTCGTAAAGTTACTGTGACAAGGCAGGCAAGGCGTTTTATCGTCATCCAACAAAGGCTACTCTGAGACAGAGTAGATACTTTGATCGTTTCAGTTTTAGCCGGAGGTGCACGGGCCAGGATAAAGAGAAAAGGCGAGGTCTGCCGATATGCCCAGAACTACGACTGACTCGCTACTTAATACAGCTTAATCCTTTTTAATTAAATGCTCCTTCGATCATCTCTGTCCCAATCTAAAAAGGACGGGATGTATAACGACCCCTGAGACTTCTACGAATGAACTCGTTATAACCGTGCTCTCCATGACGAGTAAGACGAATAATATTTGAACAGGAATTTCCTATGTTTTCTTGATAATCTTAGCAAAAATAAAATTGTAGGATGTTGGTCGCAAAACAACGCTATTAACAATTTATTCGAATAGTCTGATTTATGAGTTTAGTCGTATTTTTATTAGAATTACCTCAGCAATCTATTGATATTATTTTCATAAAAATAGGATAAAAATTACCGTAAGAATTTATTCTATTAATCATGACTGTTTTTAATATTGGTTTTCCAATTTTTACCAAATTACACAGATATAATTCAATAATTTTGCGTTAATCAAGTCCCTAGCGTACCGGATTATTGGCAATTCTACTGCATGTATCTTTCTATACTTAAAAGATATAACTAAAGATTAGATTCTTACTATTTTATACATATTATTTTAAGCAATATTCCTGTTAGAGGAAAAGTTAAAGTTAAGGGTTGCAAACAACTGTGTTTATTACTAAGCAAAATAGAAATTTTAGCGCAAGTGATTCGATAGCTACAAACAGATCAAAACTCACCGTAACCAGTGTCTTTTCGTAACCGGTGTGTGACAGCAAATAGCATCGTACTGATCAGCGATCCAAACGATCAATATGATGTAAAACGCAGTCGTGGTATCGTTAAAGAATTCTGACATGATCGCTTCCATTCCTGAAACAGAATAATTTATTTTTGAATGAATTACTCATAGCATAGAATAGTCATAGAATAGTCAATCAATTACATTTGTGAAAAGAAGAGAGGTAGTCCAACGACCATTCCAACAAAAGCAAGATACGATTTTCGTTTAAAACTAATTTTAACCAATTATCGAAGTTAAATCGTACTTCCGATACATAACGAACGCCGTTCGTTCCTCGAATAATGTAACGACAATTATATCTGCGAACATTTTCAAGTAAATCCTTCCGACAAACGTGTTCTTCCCTTTTCCCTTTGGCGCGTAGTCGTTAATTGAAGCAGCTGCGTTTGAAAATTTAATTCGAACGAAAGAGGAGATTCGGGAAAACGAGGTGGACAGGAAATTTTCTTTGTCCGTGAGATTTACTAAGACCGGGTTGTACGATGTTTTTCGAAGCCGTGTTGCTTCGGCTATCGAGGGCCGCATAAACAACTGGGATTATTAATTTGCGGAACAGAGCAACGAAAAGGCGAAAGAGGAGAAGAGAAAACGTTCGAGGGAGCTTTGTAGAAATAGCGAAACAACTTCATGGCAATCGATACCGGCATTCGTTCGCTATCGAACCCACAGGCCCGTCCTATTAATCGAATAGTTTCCGCACAATTAAAAGTTCGCGGCACGCTGTACAAAACCTCTGCCCATGTAAATTTAATACCGACCCCCATGGACCATTATACCGTTAAAACAATACATTCACTACCGTTCCGCCAGCCGTTTTTATTGTTTCCCAGGCGTTGAACGTTAAATCTCACTTATCGGTTGAAACATCGGCTAAGTTATTCCGTTTGAAACAACAACAACAAATTCGATTCTCTTCGTCAAACTATCCGTAAACGAAAATCAGGGGTCTCAAACCGAAAGCAATTTGACGAGGATTTCCTTTTTTTTCTTTTTTTTTTTCATTTTAGACTAACAACGTTTAATAGTGCTCTAATAATCAGAAATCGGACGTGGTTAAGAAAATAGAAATTCGATTTGAATAGCTGTCAACCAAAAGCCATAACGCAAAGGTACATAAGATAACAACCAATAGATTTGCAACAATTTGTCATAAGATGAGCCAAACGTCCCCGCGCGATAATCAAAGAGTCTACTATCGAATCGTCCGTAAGCGTTGTTTCACGAAATGCACGAGAACTAAAAAATAACGTGCAATTTTCTATGATATTTCGTACAAACTGTTGCGGAAAAATTCTTTGAATTTACATCTCCCAAAATAGATACAAAAAAAGAGTCTAAAATTTAAGACTGAAATTTTAATTGCGAGTCTTTGAATTTTTCAATATAATTTGAACTCAAACAGCTATAAAAACGCAAAGGAACGCTGAAACCTTCGTTGAAAACTTTCTAGAAATTTAATATAAATTTTCTCTCGATTCGTAGCTACAAAAATATCGGACGTGCTTATAAATATTGTTGTGTTAAAATTAAAAAGTATTGAGATACAGTTTACAATGCAAGTAATCAACATATTAACGTATCGTATTTTTGACTGGATCACTGAATCATATAGTATAGGTATAGAATAAAGTTAATGTGTTTCGAGGAAAGTATAGAACAATGTTGTACAGCTAGCGTGTTTCCTAATGAATTGTAACGATATGACCCCCCCCCCCCC